GGTATTCAGTAAAGCGGCTAATGCATAGGAGTTGAACCTTTTGTTAACACGCCTTCAAATGCTTGGACCTATCGCCTTTCCGTTCTTTCGCCTTTCTTCCACTTGGGAACTGAGTTAACTGAAAACCAGTGTCAGAGTGTGTGTGTCCTGGGATTCATTGAAGCCTTCTTTTCGATGTATACGGATCCACTTCTTTTGGATGTTCGGAGGTCGTATGTCCGGCATGTCAGAAATCCCCAAAGAGTGTTCCGGCTCAGCCGGATGACCGTGTAGACCCTTCAGACACCTTCTATGCCTTCATGACCAAGTGAGATTGTTGACCCTGAGGATGAGAAAGCGTGGATCGATCCATCCGGTTTCTTCCAAGACCTTCCCGCCCGCTGTCCGCCGGTGAGACGGCCAGCTGCAAAAGCGCGGCATCCTCGACGTCGGTGTGCACGTGCTGCGCGGCCCTGGGCCGAGGCATGCCGAGGCGTGCCGAGCTGGGCATAGGGAGTCAACATGATTTCACCTTCAAAGGCTTCATTCAGGTCAAAAACGGTTGCAAGTGTCAACTGGGCTTCGGAACAGTGCGGAAATCTCTGCTTTCACTTTTCATAGAACTTTCCTTTAAGTTTACAAAGTTCCTTTCGAACTTTGTTTTTCAACAAACAACTGTTTCAGGCAAGCCGCAAAGGCACCTGTTCCTTTCAACTGCTTGATCATAAAGAAACCAACTGTTTGAAAAGAACCAGTCTAACCCAAAGACCCGGTCGGCTCCAAGGGTCCCTCCCTCCAACACCACCAGCTAGTCATGAGGCTCCACGACCACTGCTAGGACGTTGTTCGAGTTGTTTGATACCAAGTTCGGCTTTCGCAGGCGAGAACGTCTCGTGGCTAGGGCACGTAATTCTATAATTATGGGCTATGGGGCATTGCCCATGTTGGTCAAAACAACACATGCGGTTTTGCACAAACCGTCACGGAGTCATCTGCATTCTGCATCACATGGAAGGCCGGGAAGGGGGGAACCCCCCCGAGGTCGAGGTCCATACCACGAGGCTTGGGAGGGTTGGATCCCCGAAGCTTGGACTGGTCAACTGACTTCATTTTACTATGGCTATTTATTATTCTCCTCCATGCTCCTCCGGTCCATGGTCGGTCCATCCACTCTCCATCGATTACATGGAGGGACGATAAAAAGAACATGCATAAAAACGCACAGTGCAGGTCTGTTTATGGTCAGAGTCAGAGATATCAATAAATTAATGCCAAAGGAGGGCACTGGGGGCACTGAGGGCACATTGGGTCGGTCGCGCTGAGAAGCTGTCAGTGGGAGAGTCAACTACAGCATGGCTGTGTCTGAGGACATGACTGACTCTCCAAAACCCGTTCAAAAGGTGTGATAGGCCTCCTTGCCTAATTCTACATGAGGACCGTAGAAACGTTTCCTGCACGTGTGGTCACACAGCTAAAACTAACCTTCCACTTCCACCAGTTTTCAAGCCATTACATTTCAAACATGTATAGACACTTGATCAACCAGCATTTTCTCAATGGACCCGACCCTTGACCTGAAAAAACAAGAACACCTTCGACGTCCCGAAAAGTTCAGACCCTCGCATGATGTTTTGATTTGGTTTTCTTGATGGGTTGAAACGCCTGATCTTCGTCCAACACCCAACAATACGAAGCCCATGGAAGTCCCAGTCACACTGGAAGCTCCAGGCCACAAAAGAAACTCACCAGCGCTGGTCTCCATGGAAGGTCGAGCCGCATGCTTCCAGAACCGGAGTTTGTGCGAAAGTAAGCCTAGAGAACATGCCAAGTGCCTACAATCCGGACGGCTGGCTGAAGTGTTCACATGCCAAGAATTGGAATTTTCACGAAACCATGCGAAACCGCCATGTTTTCCGTGCACCAATCACCCTAACCATCGCCCGATCTCCCGCGGGCCAAAGCAACCGGTTCAGTTGGGCGACCGATCTTCTCGGATTCAGAGCCGAAAATACAGCGAACAGGGCACACGGTGCAGTCCCGGCGCAGTAGTTCATAACTAAGGGGGTTGGGGACTCCACACTCCACAAGGTGCATAGGCTAGCACGATAAAGCCTTTTTTTCCCACAATTCAAGCTTACCTGGACCGGACCCTCCAACAGGTGTTTGGGGGTTGACAATATAGGGGCCTAGCAACTGCCTGGTGGCATCCAGGCACGAACTCCATGTATGCAAACCCAACATGAAAAGAACACCTGTTGCTCCTTCGTCTCAAAAAAGAAGAAGTCGCTGCAAACCCCCAAAAACCATGTGTTTTCTTGATCTTTTCATCTGGTTTCGTGAAGCTACGGACCCTATTGTGAAGCTCGGCTCGTCCGAACCGACCCTCGGAACCGGTTACGGACTGGTTGTGGAAGGTTTGAAGCGTCGTATGGGTCAAACCACGCGGCATCTGAAACGAAGTGCTTCACCCGAAAGCGCGGGGGGTGTATCAACCGAACCGTGATGGCCGACTATTCTCCCCAAAAAAAACATGGCGCCTCAGGTTTGAAACCACCAGACCGTCCTATAGTTGTGTAAACGTTATACTTCTCTCTTATATAGGTATCTTAGGGTCATACTTAGAGTAAAAACATGTGACAATCCCAAACCCATGGACAGTCTGGCGCATGGTGTTCCTCTGCGCATCACAGGTCTGACCCCACGACTTACCGGGCGTCGGAAGCATCGGGTCCTGGCTCCACACGCGGTGCATTCCTCCAGCATCCAGGCGTTCTCCAAGGTGCAGCGCCCGCAGGTCCAAACGGACCTCGCTCAGTCGGTTCTGCTGCGGGTTCAGCTGGTTCAACCAGATTTGGGAAGGGCTCCGAGGACATTCAAATCTGCAGGGATGGCCTATGTGAAGTCACCGCGTCCGTCAAATCCTGGTCAAACGTGGCAGTGTACAGGCTCACCATAGTCTGACTCCCAGTCTCCTTTGGAGTATGAAGCTCAACCTTGTTCCACCTTCTTTTTTACCGGGTTCTCCCAATCCCCCGGCAAGGTTGCTTGCAGGCCTTGATTTGAGCCCTGGTAGACCTTTGAGCCACTGGTGTGGCGACCCAAACATTCTGGCCCGCAAAAACATTCCTAGCAGTATAGCTGCCAAGAGCTTGAGCTGCTGGACGAAAGTCATGCCCTTGGACATATTGAACGTATAATCTGATTGCAACCCAAAGCAAAGGCTGTCAAGCCGGCGTTGGTAGGAACTGTGCATGACCAAAACCTGAAAGGTACCAGCCAGGAGAGGTTTGCCAGCCTTGGTTCCTGCTGCTGGGTTCGCGATGATGTTTTTGGTGGACTGCTAGTGACGCTAGCGGTTCACTTCTTTCAAAAGGACACTGTGGCATTGCTCACCAGGATCAGCTGCCTACTGTGGAGATGTTTGAAAGTGTAGGGAAGGGACACAAACTCCTTGAAAAAATGAAGTTACTGCACCTACACTACACCCTACACACAAAACTACACTCCGACTCACTAACATGTTTGTAGAGGAAACTACAGTAGCCTTCAGTAACATAATGTATTATCATCATCCATCATCGTTGTCGTCGTTGTTGTTGTGGTCCTCCTCCTCCTCATCTTTTTGAACAGCATGATGACCAGGTGGCACATCTTTTGGGCCGTTCGGCCCCCCGTCAGATCGCTCTTTCCAGGTTGGGACCGGACCCCCCACGGCGCCTCTCTCAAACCGAGGTCTCGCACGCGTGGTCCTCACCGGCGCCATCCAAGACGGCCTCTTCGGCAGTGCAAGAAGGGAGACAGGACCCGGTCGGCCCTGCACCACGGGCGGAACGAACTCGCACATCCCCTGGTTTTAAGGGGACCATGCTTGGCCAAGTCTTTGATCTGAATGCTGGCAATGCTCAGAATCCCAACAAACGAATTGGACCTTTTATGCACCTCTACAGCCCAGAAGCAAAGCCGACAGAGACGCTGCACCAGACCGAACTTCTGCGCTAGTCAGGTGTCCAAAACTCGATGCTGATCCATCTACTGATCCACCTACTGATGGTCCACTTCTCTGGATCCACCACTCTCCCTGCACCCTTCCGCACACTGCGCCTGCACGCGTTCCGCGCGGCCCTTGGCGGCTTCGAGCAGCGCCTTCCGCTTGCAGCGCTCCACCACGGCCGAGGCCTGGCGGTGCGCCATTCGATGCACTTGAGCAGGTGCTAAATGAGGTTCCAGAAAGCCACCAAGAGTGTGTATAGAAACCTTATAGGTGTCTAAACCTCGATAGGTAGAGTGTTTAAGCACTATAGGTATGAGTGTTCAGAAACCTTATAGGGTATACGTATCCTCTACCACCTTCCGAGCCCGTGTGGTTTATGGACACCCCCCTTCTTTTTTGGTCAAAGGCTATAGACATCCCTGCTAGGTGGGGTCCTGCTAGTGGTAAGTGGTTCATGTGGGCTTTTTGGGTTGTTCAAAGCCCCCTGGAAGTGTGAATTGGGTTAGAGAGTTGGTGGAGAGACTTCCAGCCTGGGGCCTGGGGACCGGCAATTCCGATTGGAGAGCATGAGCAAGGGTAGTGTCCCAGTGGATCCCAGGCAGTTCCCACGAGTACATAAGGAACCAGGGGCCCTTCCTTCGGTCGAACTGGGCTTAGTCGAAGTGGAATCACTGGTGACCAGCTATAGCTGGGGTCAACATGTGCCAACCACAAACCTCGAAACAGGGAAAAAATTGCTACAGTTGTGTAGGTGATGCCAAAAGGGGGCCCTGTCAAACTCAAACGTACATGGTGGCACGCCAGTCATACACCATACCAAGTGCATTCAGTTTGAAGGTCTTTCAGGCCCATCGCTCACAAAGATTGGCCACCAACACATGCTGTCCATAAGGAGCCAGAAGCTGTGGCTGCTCCCGACTCTGGCCACGCGCTGGGCGTCCGTCTCCACTTCCGTCCTGCTGGGCGTTCTTGGCGAAGACCAGGCTGGTGCCGGAATCCGCAGGCAGGCGGTCCAGGATCCTCGGGCGGAGAAGGGCAGGTGCAGCGGGTCCGGCGGAGCAACAAACCCAGCCCAAAGACTCCATGGATGCCTTATCTATATTTGCGTGGTTAATCCCTGAAATCAATTCGATGTAGGTAAATATGCCATGATGTCGACACCGGATTGATCAACCCCCCCTCAAGGTCAACAAGGTTTGGGATTGGAGACCACATCCCCTTAATAAAGATGACCTGATGAAAGGCATTTGGTGTATGAGTTTGTGAATGATTCGATGATACAAAGCTCTTGTGCACCAACGAGTGATACGTTGGAATGTTACATCACTCTACAGCGCTGAGGAAAGACTATATAATATACGGCGTAATGGTAGATGTACTGTACAGGCCGATTACCCAGCGCTGGGTGAGGAAAAACGAGGTCTGTGCACGGCGCAAAGGGTAACCTCATGTGGGGACTGCCCTGCGGCCAAAGAGCATAAGTAGGGACCCAAAGGAAAAAGCAGCTGACTCCATCTCTCTGGAAGTTTAAAAAAGCACGGGAGCAAAAACAGGGCAGCAACCAAGCATTCCCACCACTGCGCTCCCAACAAAGAAGCGGCGGCTCTCAGAAGGCGACGGAGAGGAGCTCCAGGGTGAAGCACAAGAGCCACCAGGGCTAGGTTTCCAGTTCAGCCCGTCGTCGCAGAGCCGCCCGGGCCCGCCAAGTTCGAATCAACACGCAGGCCTCCTGAAGCAAAGTGCTTCCATAGGTGGCCCCAGCTGCACGGCTGATATGGTCAAGGGCCTTAGCAGCTTCGGGCGCCCAAGCGCCCGTGGTCTCGGCAACCAATGGCAGAAACTCCACATGTTGGGCCTTGCAAGCAGCTGCTGTATCCAGGTGCCTCTTTTTGTGGTCGGTGTACACCGAGGCAGCCGAAGCCCCGCCATGCGAACCTAAGACGTCCACCCGCTGGGGCGCCGTAACGGTGAAGTCAAGTGCGGTAGGACGACCCAGGAATGCTGGGAGGAAGACATCGGCAGGCCTTCGACGGGCACTGCTCACATCATCTGGCCGCTGCGGCAAAAGCCGGCTTCCAAATCACGTAGAGCATTGTGTCGGAGGGTGCGCTCACCGCCTGCAATGCACATGCCAGCGTGGTGCCCATGGCTGTCCAGGATGGCGTCACATTTGGGGCACCAAGCATCAGTACTGGATTCAGGGACACGGAGGCGCACCCGTAACTCAGCAGTGAACACAGCGGGCTCCATTTGGGTCCGTCCGGAAGGAACACAGGTCAGGAATGCCCGGGCACCAGGGGCAGCCTCGGACAAGAGGGTGGCCTTATCCACGGCTGAAGCTCCCTCTAGCTGCGACGCCCAACCGGTCGCATCAATGCGGCTGCTGAGCTCGCTCTGAGATAAGGCCAAGGCGCCAGCAGTAGTGAGCTGCTGGGCAGGGCTGAGCTTAGCATTCAACTCACACAAAGCTGCGGCAACATCCCCAGAATGGTCGATCCAATAATTAGGATCAAGCTCTTGGCATTGTGGGGAAGAGCTGCCAACTGAAGCCAAATAGGCGGCAGGGGCATGTGTCCGCGTGGAGCGGAGCCCAAGACCAGCTTGTGCCAGACCACGGCCTGCTTGCTGCCATTGCTCAGGTTCCAGGTGAAGGCCACTCAACGAGCTAAAAGACTGTAGTACCAAGTCATCAAAAACCTCCAAGGCAGCGGCGTGCCCGGCAGGGGGGCAACACCGCATGGTGTGCACCAAGCGAGCATAGCCGGCAGAAGCCCGGAGCAGCCGTAAGGCCACCTGAGGGTCAGCGAGTCCTCCGACTGCTTCCAAAA